ACATCCTCAAAGAGAAGAAAATATTTCATGATTTGAATTAAATTTTGTTGAACAAAAGAAATATTGAGGGTGGATGTGTCGGTGTAGATTTATCCTGTTCTCCCACACCCACACGCTCTTCCAAATCTCTTTAATATGCTTTTAGAAGTTTTCTTTAACAGAGAGTTTATTACCCATAACTGCATTGGACATTCTTTCACAAATGAGAGAAATTCAATGGTCGAAACAATAAACCTTTATGAATATTTTTTGGTATGACATTAAATTTTCGCTTGAGTGCTTTCTGAGATGCAGTGAGTATCACAAGTAAAAAATAAGAATATGTTTACGAGAAATTGGATATCCTACGCGGAAAGCGATATTATCAACAATTACGTTGTCATGAGTTCATTTCTCCACAGGTATCTAAGTTCGATGAAGAACATATGGAATGTTTTAACACATTGATTTACGATTGGTGCCTAGCAAAAATTGTTTGTCTATTGAAAATCTAAAGATTTGGAAGAACATGTATTGTCGAGTATTTTATCTTTCATGAATGTTTTAACTATTATACAAATCATTTGAGTATGTAGTCCAAAAGTCCTTAATAACGATTACAATATAGCAACTAGGGAAAGTGTTCTAGGTTCCAAATCTGTATACCTCCCTTGTTTTAAAAAAATAAAATAATAAAGTTGAATATATTTTAAAAAAATTGTTTTTTTTATGGTTGAACATACAATGTGTACCCGTATGTTTATTATCTGATTTAATTTCGTCGATTTATTTTTTTGTTAAATAATAGGTGAATACATCGAGTTTTTTCTATACGAACAAGCGTCAAACGGACTGTTGTAAGATATTATCTTTCAGCGAAATACACACCATCTTGAGGGTGAGGGTATTCTATTTTATTCTCACCCACACCCTTAAGATGCTTCATTTTTGCTCGATTACATTGTGAAGTACGATACCGTCGTTAGTTGCTTTCTCTTGTAGTTTATTATTTTTATGAAACTGCACTTTCTAAATGCTTAAATATATTTTTCAAATAAACAGCACAATCAAAAAAAATATAACAAAGACTATTATGTAGAACTATCTTCCTTCTACCTATAGAACAATAAAAAATTCGACTTTAACCATCGTGATGGGAAAAAAATCTTTTAGAAAAATGAAGAAAAAACCTATATAACGAACCATGTGTGAAATTTTTAAAAATTGTTTCGCTTATAATTTTTATTGAAATCCCTGGAACACACCTGGAAACCTTCACTTATTAGATCACCTAGTATATAAAGTATAATATATTAGATGTAAATGTACAAGAAAAAAATTAAAACAAATATTGTATTGTCTGACTTATAAGCCACCCGGTATATCTTTCATAAACTTTCTTTTTATGAATATAATCAGTTTTTCTAGTGGCTGTTGAAAAATTTCATTGTACTTTTATCAAAAAAAAGATAATTGAATACAGCTTTATTTTTTGTCATACTTTTTTTTCTGCTTCATTACGAAACTTATTAAATGTATTTTTTCCTACGTATTATTCTAATTATTTGTTAAAATAATTTTTTTATATTCTCCGTAGATTTTCTTAATTTTCTTTCCAGTGTCCTTATCTCTCTTTCTCTCTGAATTCTATTATTTATTCTATGTACGTTTTTCTAGAATATTCAGTAATGCTCATTTAAATGTTTATTTTTTAACGAGTAAAAAGTTGAGAGACATTTTTTTTTCTTCATTGATATTATACCTTAACATTTTCTACTATAAACCTTCGTATTAATAATAAGGTAAGTAGATATTATTATAAAGGATAAGATATTTGTATCAAGAAATCGAATGAGTATTGATTTTTTTGTATTTTATCTGTCAATCGTATCTAGCTTAAAGTAGACAAACACTATACGGTTTTTTCGTTTTATCTTATTCATCTATATAAATGGTAAGTGTTCTTCCTTTTCATAAACATATTTGAATCGTGAGCTAAAAAACTCGACACTAATGTCCACACATGATTTTTATAGTGATTTAGAATAAATTCTAAATAGTTTATGTTCTATTATACGTGCTAAACTTGAGATGTAATTTCTTCTCAAAGATTTTTCTCTCAGTCAAATCTATGCATTTTCTTGTTAATTAGAAATATTCTTGAAAGTAAATGACGAATATTATTATAACAGAAGCATTCAAGCGAACTATTAAAATAAAAATAAAATCTATTCAATGAAATAAAACAATTTCCTTCCTAAATCAAATGAACACATACAGCATATTCAGAAATAATTGAATTCAATGATGATCATCACATTGTGCATGACTTGGCATACATTATAAAAGGACATTTGTTGTCGAAATAGATTAATGCAAAGTATGCTATTTCTTTCTATGGAAATTTTTTTCAATTAAACTATTTAGCAAAATCCAATGTAATCTAAAATATTCTTTGTGTGAGATAATTACAACTTTGCTTAATAATGTTTGATGGTCCACTTCATTTTCTATGAACATTTCGCCTTTCAAAGGTGGTTGTAGGTGTGATATGGGTGAGAGATGATTATAACATCCACACCCACACCCCCAAGATCTTGTTGCTCTTCATAATTATTCTTCACTGTTTATACTGTAATGACTTTAGAAAGAGATTGACTCTATCAAAAGTATGAAATCCCTAATTGATCTCAGCATAAAATAAGTAGCAAATATTGATAACTTTACACACATGTCAGTTTCATCGATATAAACTTCTATATCATATGCTTTTTCTTTATACAAAAACAAAGTAACATTTTTGTTTTTAGTTTGAGATAAATGTGCAATATAGTACTACTAACGGAGACACTCATTTATCTAATATATCTTGCGTTAGAATTATGTGTTTTGCTCATTAGTGCGGCTTACAAACGCGCATAAAAATTCCAGAAAATCTGTGCCATTAGATCTTTTTTCTCGAATTATAATAGTTTTATTAATTTTTAGCGTGTTGTATAGTATTGTAAGAAAGTTGAAACGAGAGGTTTTCGACTCAAAGTTTTAACTTAAATGAATGAAGTTTGTAAAAAAAGATGAGTTCTTTGTAAAATGAACTAGCCTGTGATTTTATGATAAAGTGATAGTTTTCGTAAACGCATTGTTTCTAAATACAAGTATTTATTTGAGCTGAAACTTCTAGGATCTTGTAAGATCATAAGTTGTGTTACCATGAAAGTTATCCAGCATATATTTGATATTACGTTTTTTTTCAAAGCATATCACGTAATCGGCTGAGAACTAAGTAAAACGACTATAACTGGTAGGAAGAATCAAATGAAATGAATCTGTTTACGGTTTTTATCTGTATGATGAGCCCTATATGTGGACAAAATATGAGCTGAAATAGTGATTATCAGTTGAATGAATTCCTTTGCGGGTTGCTAGGAAACCTAGTGAGATTTAATTAGTTCCTGTGTAATTTATTTCAAAAAGAAGAGATAGGTAGGATTATTACTGAAATAACTGACAATTATAATACAGTAAGATTGCAGATTTTCTTTATCTATGTATGTAATTGATGAAAATGTGAATGTGGGTGATGATGTGACTGTAAAATGATAATAAGGATGTGAATACCTAATGAATTGATCAGTCACGCTCATACTCACGCCCTTAAGATGGTAAGCAGTTATCAGTTAATATGCACCAAGCCCAAACTCAAATACAAATCGTTTAGTAGTTTGAATTTGGCTGTTAAGTTTGGATTAGATATCGAAGCTGAGAGTGTAGATGATGGTTCTCTGTTCAATCTTATTCGTAATCTCTCAGCCACCGCCAAACCCTAGCTAGACATGAACCAAACCAAAACGGTTTGGGTTTGGGTTTGGTGCATATCTAGATATGATCACATCAATGACCAGTTATTTAAGGACAATTAATCTCGCTTGTAAATTATATGAAAAAATGAAACAAATTAATAACTAATTGAATCGAGCATTATAAGGTGAATTTCTGCATTATCGTTTTTAGAAAAGCATAAACTAGTTATTGAATTACAGATAAATACTCTGGGTTTTCTTTAATCAAGATGGCATTATGTTTACAAATACGTGCAAAAGTCCAAAGGTAAAACGAGTGTGATTGAATAAAAATGTATTATCATTTTTTCGAATAATAGTGTCTGGAAACATCATCCTTATATATGCGCTGCTCTATTGGTCTTAATTGGTTTAGTAATTGCTTGTGTTTTGATACTCAAACTAATAGTTCTGCGTCAACAATCTAAACTTGCCGGTATTGTAATAGACGAAATAGTCAGTTCTATTTTCTTAATTTGTTATGATTTATCAATTAAGATCAAACAACAAACAATGGATCATCATCGACAACATTTATTCTGGTGCCGCAGACATCACTCACTCTGAAACCGCAGACATCACACACTCTGCCGCCGCAAGTGTCATTGGCTCAAACAGGTATGATGGAGAATATTATTCTCTGACTAAGTTTTATTATCAACCAGTTGCTCTTTGAATTAGAAAGACTTGTAGAGCATCGAATTTTGATTCTTCGCAAAGCACGTGCCGTAGAGGGTTTCAATCCCGTGGTACTGATCGTATAGTTATTTTTTAAAGTAATTCCTATTCCTGTCTTAGCTTGTTCTTTCTCCATCTCTCTACCACTCGCATGTATGCAAAATTTCTGTATAATTCCAGCCGTTTTATGATTTTCTTGATGTAGGACGTGAAGCGCGTTGATCCTGCTCATGAACTTTTGATGACAGAATGATCATCACGATTTTTCATGTATTTTGAAATTGAAATTATCCAACAGCTCCAGATGGCATACATCAGAGTTGTAGTCAATAACATTAAGCAGTCGCTTCGATCCAGTAGAGAATCTCTATCGAACGGTACACGGTTTTTTATTTTCCAGCCAGTTGCTGTTATTATAGTGGATTTTTAGGGTTTGAGTATCGGCACGGGCTTAATTAGAACACGTAACATTCGTCGATTCGACTCATTTGACCCTCGACCGAATAGAGGACAAAATCTTTTCTGTTGATACTAAGCTGATAGGATAGATCTAAAAATCCATATCCGAACCGTGACGCAAATTTCTTCTCTTAAATTATAAAAGTGCAGAAAAAGCGCTTTGCATTGTTGAAATATAGTTTTAAGGTGAATCTCATTTTCAACTCATATCTGTAACCAAACTGATATTACCTTCTGGTAACACGATGTAAAGGGTGTGGGTGTGGATGTAAGTGTAAGTATAGATGTGAGTGTGAGAGTGGGTATGGGTATGGTGTGTGTAAGTGTGTGATGAGTGAGGATGTGGATGGTATTAGTTTGAGTATGAACAAGAGTGTTACATCCACCACAGTGACACTCACATTCACCCTACCACGCCCTCACTCTCACAACATCAAACCTTTTCTTTCCTAGTTTCTACTTATGGTCTAAACTATTTCAAGAAATGGATTGGGGATATATCATGAAAAATCCCTTTTTTTCGATGATATAATGAAGAAGAAAGATACTTGATTGGTCACGTTAAATATCATATTATTTTATATATAAAGATAAAGAAAAATGAGATTAACAGCTTTGTATTAAGATGCACTTGTTGAATCTGTGTCGTAAAGGCGGTACAGATTCCATAAGTTGACTACAGCTAAAGTAGATAGAGTAATTCGAATTACCCCAACTAAATTGTATAGCTAATCTAAATTATCCCAAATTCATTTTAAATTTGAAAAGTGGTTGATATAGGTCTCAGTATTTCAAATATCGCATCACAATGGCTCATACGTTCACCGAGATATTTTTTGGGTCCCATCGAAAGTACTTCAGGCTATCGAATGGTATCATATTTTATTGCATATGATGGAATAAAAAGTTAGTTAAGAGATGGAGAAATCAAGTTTTAATTATTTTGTTGAAGTAATCCGAATTAGCCCAACTTGATTGACAGATTGATCTAAGTTACCCCATTTAGGGTAATTCTGATCAACTTCGACCCTGCCGCAGTATTTTGGCTAATATTTTTATCCGTTCCTAGAACATAAAATATATGAGAACGAGAAAAAGCAAAACCAATTTTCAAAGTTTTAATCCAAATTACTCTTAAGGATTCTATTGAACAGATTGATAGGAGCTGTATTTACAAAATAAATGAAAAATCGAGATGTCATGTTTAAGAGAAATGAAAGATAGCGCATTTCGACTACATTCTTTTATTGTATTAACAGCATACAACACGCTGACAGGCAATGCTGTATGGTCATCGATGGGTGAGACTGTGGCCGGAAATGGATCAGCTACTACAGTATCATTGAATCAACCGGGACCCATTGTTTTTGATGTCAACAATAATCTATATGTGAATGATTATGGTAACCAGCGCGTCATTTTCTATCCAAGTAATGGAGCTACGCCAACCGTCATCGCTGGCAATGGGATAGTAGGATCGGGGATGAATCAAGTAAATTCACCAAACGGTATATATGTGGATAATAATGGAACTCTATATATAGTAAGTATTGTATGATCATTTGCAATTTTGTTCGATACAAACGCCTTTACTATTTCAAAAACCTGTTTCATATAAACGTCAATAGCGAGAGAAAATCGTTTTTACATTGTTTTATATGTCGAAAGTTTCAAAGTGTATTCGATTTGAATTTGGAAAACAAATTTATTACAATACTGTGAGCAAAAATTTGGATATTGTAACGAGAAGATAAGCTAAATCGTCAAAAGCTTTCAATCAGTTTTATGCTTATGATATGTATAATTTTCCTTGTTATTAAATTTTTATTAGGCAGACACAAAGAACCATCGAATTCAAAAATGGCTCCCAGGAGCGTCGAGTGGAACCACAGTGGCTGGATTAACAGGCAGCAGTGGTTCAAATTTAAATCAATTGAACAAAGTTAGTTTACATTTTTTCGTCGTATTTTTGGTATGATCTGTAATGATGAATTAAGAGACTAAATTGTGTGGTAAAACTATAGATCCATATTACGAATCGACTGAGTACCGAAAAGAAGTTTATACGGGATATTTATATGAGTACATATGTTACATTAAAAGAATCATCGTTTATACTAAAATCTTTTATGAGGCACTGTAACATTTCCAGCTCTCTCTCTCAAAATGGCTAACTGCAGAACTTTCTTGACGAGAGTCTATTTTGAGTAGTCAATTGTAAACTTTACAAATGCTTATTTCTAGTTGTCTATTTAAATAGAAACTTCTTTTTACCACATCGATGAACAAGAAAAAACAAAGCAATACAAAAAAGAAGTACTGAATAGAGATAATGTGTTCAACACAGTAGTCAACAGTAGACGAAGAAAGAGTGTGCATGATATATGATGTATGAGAACCGATCTAGAATATAGAGCAGAACGAACTTTATAATCGTTTGTACTTCTTACGTCTAGCTTTATCCCAAGTTCGACAATACGTTACGACTATGTACTGATTGTGTTTTATTTGTTTCTATTAGCCCCAAAGCGTCGTAGTCGATTCTATTGGCAATATGTACATTGCTGATAGCCACAACTATCGTGTTCTCAAATGGCCCGTAGGTGCATCGCAAGGCATTGTAGTTGCTGGTAAGCAGGAAAAATTGATATTTCTTTTGATAAGTGATAAAATAATTGTCAAAACTATGTAGAAAAGACGTTTTTCTGGAAAACAAATTCTAAATTAAGTAACTAGACTTTTTATTTCGCTGTTTTCAACTCATTTGGAGGCGCTAATTGAAACTTTCTACTTTTCGTCGAGCTAAGCATCCGATCCGAGAACATAGTTCTCTTCGTAGTAGCAATATATGAGTTTATTTTTTATGGTTATTTATTGCTTCAGTATTTGCCTTATAGTGAATCTCTCTGAAATTAATACGAGTGTCTAATCAAAGTGAGTTAAAACGAATTTCTAAAACTGTTGTCGTTTGATGCATAACCATACAGAGCCAAAAGTAAGCTGTTTTTTTAATCAAAAATGCTTAAAATATAATATGTTCATGTATGATAAAACTATATAATAACGTTATGATTTTGATAGTACCAGAGCACTCTCATAATTTAACCTGGTGGTAGAATTTTATAAGATAGCTCTTTTTTCATCGTTAGCCTGTAATGGTCAAGAGTGTAATCAGGATGGAATTAGAATATTCATAATCAATGTACTTTCTATGATAGCTTCTTATGTCATATCTCAGAAGTGTCGTGTTAACCGCATGCGTAAACAGCTTCTGGTTTATGAATAATGCATATTTCTTTGATACAGCTACCTCAGGACACAATAGATAAAAGAAGACATACTATTAAAAGGGGTTAGAAATAAGTACAATAATTTGAAAAAACCAGTGAAATTTGAATTTTCTAGCAAGAGCTCTACTTTAAAAACTCTAAAAGACTTTATCACGCATTCATAAAAATTTCGATGTGTTCTTAGCACATATGGAAAGGGATGAGACACTGTATCACTTGTTTTTTTGACAATTTTAATGCCAGAGCCTTATATTTCAATGTAAATAGGTAATGGAGTTATTGGCACATCTTTGAACAATATCGGTATTGCATATGATGCGAAAGTTGACTCGAGTGGTAATATCTATGTACCAGATCGCAATAACGGACGCGTCCTCAAGTGGACTCCACCATCATTATCAGGTATCTTAGTCGCCGGACAAATTAGTAGTTCTGGATCAAATGCAGATCAATTAAATCAACCCTCACATGTTATCTTCGATTCGGTTGGAAATATTTATGTATGCGATGCCGGTGAGTATCTCTCATCTATCCGTTGTAGATCATTGCTCGCATATTTTGATAAGAAAAAGCTTATGTTATCTAGAAGTTTTATAAAATCGTTTATTCGAGCGAGAAATTTTTTTCGTCGGAACACTGCTCATTGGACGAGATAGTGTTTGTTTAAAAAAATGAAGTTCATTTTGACACACTTTTATCATATCGATATCCATCAATAATTATCTCCATGGAAAATGTGTTACTTTAAAGAAATCCATTTGATACTTTTCATAATCGCAATCAGCTCGGAGAAGTCTAGCATATAGGATTAAAAAATTATAGTCTCATAAGCTTACATGACCTTTTCTTCATCATTGATTTTCTTTTTGAAGCTAACAATAGAATTCAGCGATGGGTCAATGGATCATCTATGGGTTCCACAGTTGTCGGCACTGGAATAGCTGGTCTAGACTCCAATCAATTAAACACTCCATTTGGTATCGCTTTTGATTCGTTCAACAATTTGTATGTTGCGGATGCTAACAATAATCGCATCCAACGATTTAATTTAACACATGCTTGAGTAATGATAATAATGAAAGAAAATTTAGATTTCAATTAGAATACAAATAGTTATAAATATCATTCACAGGCTTATCAAAAGAACTTGGGGTGTGTGTGCCAAGAAAATAGGTGGACATCCTTTCAAATACCACACCCGTCCCCTTGCTTTAACACATTTATCTTTCTCTTGCTCTGTATTTTTCGTTTGTTCTGTTTCTTTTCTCTTGTTCGCTTTCTTTCTTCTGCTGCTTCTTAAATTTAGTCAGTCTAGAGAAGAACGATGGATAGCAAGGTTGCTTCAAAGTGCGATAAAAAGAATTCATCTGAATTGTGTTTGGAGAGTCGAAGACAGAATAGAGTCCGAACCATAGGCTCGATAAAGAAGCGACAAGAATTATTTTGTTTGTGCTCGCTATTATATTTTTCTCTTTTATTATTCAATAAACGTCATATATTCCTGAAATATCTACCTTATTCATAATTCCGTTACAGTGTAGGTTTGTGTGAGTACGGGTGTGAATCAATGTGCGTGAGTGTGAGGGTAGATGTCGATGGGAATTGATATGGATGTGCATAAGGGTGTCACGCAACTAAGAGACTGACCCACACCTTCAAGATGGATTTTTAAGAAAAGTAATTTGGCGTATGAAAAATCGGCTGATACTGGAAGGTACAAGTCGGGGTGTGAGTGTGGGCTTAGGTATGATGTGTGTGAAAGTAGGAGTGAGGGTGCACGTGTGTGGTGGGTGTGAGTATGAATGTTACATCTACCACACAACCGAAATGACACTCACAACCATCTACACCCACACCCACACCCACACCTTCAACAATATATACGAACTTGAGGAGTGTGACTGGCTGTGGGGTGAATGTGGTTCAGATTCAGAAACGAATACTACTCTCAGCCACACCTGGTGTGCTCGTGAGGGTCTAACTTGATTTGCTATTCGCAAGGATGAAAGAATAATGTTGTCCTAATGGATAGTTTTCTTAGAAGGAGAAACTGTGATATAAAAGCATATTATTTTAGTGCAGCAAAGTAAATACAAGCACTATAGTAATAATTACCTTTAAAATAATTCGAATGATGATCGATATAAAAATAAAAAGGACTGAATACAATATTTGCGACTATACACAAACATGAAAATATACTGAATGAAAAAGTGAGAAGCGTACCTTTAGATATCTCTTTTACTTTCAGTGATCGCCGATAGATAAATCGTATTTCTTTCTTTCTTTCTACTGAAAAAATTAGGACCAAAGACTAAGGATGTTACTTTATCTTTACTTTATGAATCAAGATAGAGACAATCTTTATCTGCAAAAATAAAGTTAAAATAACGAATAAAGATACATTTTTTCATGCTATAACAACAGATGACGTTTATTAATGCTCTTTCGTATCATCATCATCGTCATTTCCATACGCCATATCATCGAAAAAAAGGGTTCCATGAATTTCGGCCCAGCAATTTTTCGTCCCAGACTTTCGACCCGGTCCGAAACTCCAGTAACTTTTCGGTTCAGGGACGAAAACTCAATGGAATTTCAGTCCAACTATTGATTAAATTTTGAATTAATTTATTATTAATTAATACCTTCACACCGCTCAGCACTATGACTTTGGAAAATTCATTCTGCTGAGCAGTATGAATATTGAGAAGGTCGCCTGGCTACAAATTGATGTGGTGTTAGGAATATTCCATTAAGTTTGTTATATCTCAAACGGTTATCTGAAATGCTTATCAAATACTGTGCATAAACCTTAACTAGAAAATACATTTTTCACACTCCATTATCAGATGTTTTTAAAACCTTGTATTTTCGATATTTTATAATTCATAGCATCACTGAACGGGTCAAACTAGTTTATGATTTTTATAATGTTCATACTGCTCGGCAGTATGACACACTGATCAGTAGAATGAATTTTCCAAAGTCATAGTGCTGAGCGGTATGAAGTTATTAATTAATAATAAATTAATTCAAAATTTAATCAATCACTGGACCGAAATTCCATTGAGTTTTCGTCCCTGAACCGAAAAGTTACTGAAGTTTCGGACCGGGCCGAAAGTGTGGGACGAAAAATTGCTGGGTCGAAATTCCAGTCTCCCGAAAAAAAGAATTACGCAAGAAATGATATATACAAAAAATGCTACTCCGTGGTACAGCTAACTATATAGTATCATAATTTTTTATGAGTTAGTGTAAGAAAATAAAAAAGTACGTTTCGATAGAAAAAGTCTTTATTCTTTATAAAATAAAGATGAAGATTTTTATTACTTTACTCGTTATTATAAAGAAAATAAAGATATAAACGTGTATATCTTAGATTTCTTTCCACCATATATGCAGTGAGTATGAAACAATATTCAGAGGATACATAAATATTATCCACGCTTAAATTTTTTTCATTCTTTTACTACAATGATCAGTGGAGGTTAAATCTTTTTTTTCTCTCATCTATATCATGAAACAAGCATGCATGTTCCAAAAGAGTCAATATAAATGATACTTATTCTCATTTCTGTACGTAACAAAAACTACCTTTATTTTTATCAAAAAAAGAAAAAAAAACCGTTGTGCATTACCCCAGCTTCGTCCTCTGATGTAAAACACGCAGCTAATGGGATGCAATTACTACGCCTCAGGCAGCCAAGGAATGAAAAATACGGCATTTCTGCGCGTACAAATGTGTGCTTTTTACGCGACGAAAAGACATTTTTTTTGAAAGCAAAATGATGGAGACACCCTTTGTTGTTAACAACTTGATTCTTTCTACAAAAAAAGAATTTTTCTTCAAGCGTAGACAGGACGTATTTTTTGTTCCTTGTCTGCCCGGAGTACTAGCATCAACATGCGGAGATATTTATACACTGATCTAATTGTTAATAGATATTATGTACATTAATCTCATGACATAAATTTATGTTTCATCGAGCTCACATAATTCTTTATGAGTTACCATTAGTTTTTAGAAAAACTGTCAAGTTTCGGTGAGATTGAAAAAGTTCTGCTAGATGTGAACTAATACACTCCTATCAAATAATTTATCAATCGAATTTTTTATCACACAACTAAGAAACAATAGACATTATAATTACGAGTGATTTGTAATAAATTAAATTGTTTAGATCTTAAATATTTTTCTCCTATTAGTCATTTGATCAGAAGACCTGTTTTATCATATGAGAAGACTTAATATCTTGCATAAAATTAAGGATGATGGTAGTGAATGAACGACTAAAAGTGGAGATAGAAAGTATATTATTTTTATCAAGTTATCTCATGCTTCATATGTCCTCATTCTCTAGCATAATGAAAAATGACTGTGTATTTATTTGATTTTTAACAATTCTTCTTAGTAATATCGATTAAATTATAAATTCAACTCGTTTTATATATTTGCATTAGTGAATTGATGATCGATTTGTATATCTAATTACATTTTAGGAATACCACTTGTTATTATAATGAAAGATTTTTATTGCAACTGTCCTTTGATTATATTCAAAGATATACTTTAATTGATTTCCTGTTTAATAAAAAAATCTCATTATCATTGTTTCTTTTTTCTCAATCTGTTTGAAGGGCCTGGTTCTTCCATGCAGAATATCATAAATAACAAAACATGACAATATATTTTGTACTTTTATTACAAGGGAGAAATCAAGTACTCTCATATTCCGTGTATTCCTTGCCTGCCTATTATAAAATAAATTAGCTAATATTAAAATGATACAGATAGCTCATTATTCGTATTTTTTAATAAACTGAAAGGATCATTCATCAATATCGATTGATAATATTCTATAAAGTAAAAAGTTCTTTGTATGTGTTAATAAATGTTTTTTTTCTATAATTTTCTATTAATATATGTTTATTTATGAATAAAAATATAAAACTCGATTGAATACATGTGTGAGTAGTCTCAAGATTTTTAGAAAAAAAATAAGAAATACTAAAAAAAAAGGAAAATATAATTACTTTTATTATTTTACTTGTTTGGGTAAGTTGTTAAGAAAACTAAATGAATTGCACCCAGAATTCATCTATTATGAAATGTTTGTAAATATTTGTTCATTCAAATATTCGGACATATCTCTTTTGGTTATGTTATAGTTTTTAAGATATCTACCAAAATTTGTACTATCTTACAAAAAAATGACTTGGCACAGTTTTGAAGATCTATACAAAACTGTTCACAAAATATAGATTTTTCTAGAAAATATTGTCATGTGTATACAATTACTGTTGCAATCGTTTTATAAAATTGTTTGTAATAAATGGAATGCAGGGAATATTTATGATTCTCGATCATTAGATCCATTAATTATTCGTCGTGAAATCTTATCAACTCGTCTTTATATTGTTCTTGTTATTATTTCTCTTATTACTTTAACAATATATTCTTCATTAAGTAATCGAATCGAAAATAAAACTGTAATATTACCAAGTCAATCTATTTATGAAAATCTTCAAAAGAAATATGCTACTAGTTTACAGTGCCCATGTACAAAAATCTCGATTCCTTATGGAGATTTTATTAAAATAATTCCATTGTTTCATCAAGTATGTTCAAGTGATTTTATTTCTCAACAATGGATCAATTTTATATTTCAAGCAAATTCAACATTTATTTGGCCAATAGATGTACGAACAAGTCTGAGTGCAATGTGGCAATTAATACGAACATTCTGTCAAAGTTCAATAAATATAACTACAGATGCACTTGATCAATTTAATAATTCCCCATTAGTTAATACAATGTTATTGACTGAAGGATTATTAGAAGCAAAAATTCAAGCTGCTCTTTATTTATTACGTCAAACAGCATCATCTACTCTAATACAACCAATGACAATTGTTCATAAAGTCACACAAGCAAATCAATTAGTAACAGGATTATTAACAAATTATGTTGCTGTAACAAAAAACTTTGGACTAATGCAAGATCGTGATTCGTATGTCGATATTGGTTATATGAATGTATCTCTTTATACGGGAACATTTGGAAACAAATATATATTAGAAAATTCATCACTAGTTTGTTCTTGTCAAAATAATGGTTCATGTCCTTTACCTGGATATCTTTATTTATATAAAATTTTTGAAACTTTTGGAATCTATGATTTAAATAGAATTGAAGCAAATGAAACATTATCTGGTATAATAATTGATTGTTTACCATCTCAAATGACACTTTCATCATCATTAGAATGTTTTTATAATCAATCATGTTTAAATATTCTTTTATCATCTTATAAAAATTCATTAAATATTGCAATTCTTAATCAATCTTTATCAAGTCGTTTTCTTTCAACAACAAAAATTGAATTACTTATCAATGAACTTTTTCTTGAAGAAATGTTTAATCAAACAAATTATACAAAATATTATTCACAATGTTTACCCAAGTCTTGTCAATATATTTACATACATCGTTTTTATTGGATTAATGTTCTTACAATTTTTATTGGTCTTCTTGGAGGAATAACTACTGTACTACATATAGTTACTCCATATATCATTCGATTAATTTTATGTATTAAAAAACGATGTGCTTCAAAGAAATACGAGGAAGTTACACAAAAAACTCCATGTAAGATTTAAGCAGAAAATAGGAATATAATATTTAATAAATATAATTTTAGTTCGGCCAAAAGAATTTTTTCTCAAAGTCAAAGATAAAATCATAACTTTTAATTTATACAGTAAATATTCTCGTGATCCAGTACGTGTTTATCATGGTGTTTTAGCAACACGATTATATATTATTTTATTATTGGTTTCAGTATGTATTATTATTTTATTTTCATATTCATCAAATCAAGTATTTAATGAAACCATTATAAATCCATCTGAACAAGAATATGAAAAGTTAGAAGAAAAATATTCATTAACATTAACATGTCCATGTACGCAAATATCTATACCTTATGAAGATTTAATAACAATCGAAGTAAAATATCATCAGATATGTACAAGTGATTTTATTCAACCATGGTGGTACCAAAGTTTTCTTCCGCATAATAATTCTGACGAGTATGCAATTGATTTTTTATCATTTGCTCCATCATATTTTCAAACATTAGAAACATTTTGTGATATTGCTAAAATAATAATCAATAATGAAATTAATCGATTTTTAACAACAACATTTGTTCATGCTCAAATTTTAACAAATAATATATTTAATTCCCAAATAAATTCATCAATAAATACATTTATTCAATTAACACAAACTGAATATCGTTATCGAATGTCTTTAACGAATGGATTACTTCATAGTAATCAATATTTAAGTCATATGGTAGCAAGTACTGCTCTAAACACAATGTTATTGGACCGGTCAGATGGAACACATACTATAGAGATCAATACAGATGCTCTGTATACTCTCAATGCAAGTGATGATATATGTTATTGTGTTCTAGATTCAACATGTAATATAGATAATATCTATTTTGGTAATAATAATAATGAATATAAGTCGTCAATTGATTGGCAACCTGATGGTATACAAGTTGGCTGTTCGGTTATGGATTCTGTATTAAAATCATCATTGATGTGTTGGTTTGAAAACACTTGTTTAAAACAATTACGAATACTTGTTAATACAGCAAACCTTCCAATACTTCCATCTATAACTCCACTTGATTCAACATTATCTAGTCAATATTTTCCAAATACATCAATTGAATTAATTTTTAATGAAATTATGATTGAAGAATGGAATTACTCTTCACCATATTCAATCTATTATCAAAAATGTAAACCTTCATTTTGCTCGTTTACTTATAAGAAAAAGACTAGTATTATTTATATAATTACTATTATTATCAGTCTTATTGGTGGAATTAATGTTCTTCTTCGATTATTTTCTCCATTTATAATTAAGATTATTTTTAAATTTATTCATCGATTAAAACGCAAAAATTCACCGCAAATCTCGACTATACAAGAAGAAAATCATCGTAAGTTATTGATGGGTGTGGGTAAAGAAAATATGAACCTACACCCACCCACCCACAATCAAGAAATTTGAAACTATATTTTATTTTATTTAGAAAATGTTGGAATTTGTAATATTATAAGGAATCAAATGATTCGATTAATAGATAAATTTTTAATGATAAATCTATTTGATAGTGAATCAGATAATATTGAAACAATGCGTCTTGAACGAATATCAACAAAACTTTATTTATTAATTTTTTCAATTTGTATATATAGTATAACAGTATATATAGTATTTACGGATACAACTATAGATCAATCTTTTGCAAATCCTTCCAAAAATGATTATAATAATTTATTAATATCTCATTCGAAATCACTTGATTGTCCTTGTAATAAAATATCAATTGCATATAAAGATTTTATAGAAATTAACACAACATTTCATGAAATATGTTCAAGTGATTTTGTTAATATAAAATGGATTAATTATTTATTTTATCAAGGATATTGGTTTGAGTATGAACGACGTGATATTCGTGAACGTGGTAGTGCATATTTTTTATTTCTTTCAAATTTATGCAACATTTCTCAAACGACAATTAATAATGCAATTGAACAATCTCTTAATGAAATATTTATCAATACTAAATTAATATCTGAATCTGAATTTTATATTCAAATTGAAAATATTATTTTACAATTTCAAAACGAAACTTTAACAAAATTTTCTCAAAGTTTGAAACTTCTACGGAATATAATGAATGGAAATGCTTTTGTATCTTCATATTTTTTAAATTGGTATTGGTGGAGAGACATAAATAGTACTATTACAATAATTCCAACTAGTCCAATAATAATGGAAAATGGATGTTCATGTGGAACACAAAGTGATTGTATTGATGCAGGAGGAATTTATTATGATACAAATAATGATCAAGCATTTGCAATGCCTGGATTGCATATTGGTTGTTCAGTTGTAGAAACATTATTGCAGTCAACATTTGAATGCTTATATAATCAAACATGTATTGATTTATTATTACATTATATGACAAGTATACAAAATCGATTTCCTTATCGAATGAATATATCTACTATTAATTCAGCAACTGTGAGTCGTTTTAAAACAAATACATTGATCCAAACTATAGCAGATGAATTATTTATTGAAAAATGGAAAATCAATAGTTCTTATTCATTATTTTATAATCAATGTGCTCCTGCTTATTGTTCTTATAAAATTCAAAAAGATGATTATGCTATTTATATTATATCGAAAATTTTAGGTTTATATGGAGGATTAACTGTTTCTTTACGATTTATTATTCCAACTATAACTAAAATAATATTTAATATTATTAAACGATGTCGAAATAATATAATTATTCCTAATGAATAGTTATCTATTCAACAAACTACATCAAGTCTTATACAAACAAGCTTTGCTCATTATTTTAATATATGCTTATTTTCTTGCTTGGTATTTGTTTTTTTTGCAGCATTGTTGAAATAATTTCGAAAATTTTATTCGCTTTGATGTTGTTACGTACAGTTCCTTTATAAATAACATTAATAAAATTTAAAAATGATCTATTCATAGTTTTTATAAAATATTTCGATTTGCAGATATTGTTTAAATTGTTATTCCATTTTTTTCTCGAATAATAATGTTACCCTGAAAATCCTGTTGATTATAGAGATAGGAAATGAACTTGAACAAATGCAATCATACGGATATATTTCAACAAGCACGAAGAATTTGTTAACTAACAGTCACAAAAGTTGAACATAAATTGAACCTGTATCTTTTGATAACTGGTCCCAGTAATAAATGATAACTGCATATTCAAAACATTTACGGTTTTTCGATGAGGAGTTTATGAGGTGTGTGAAGAATATTTGTCTTAATAATAAAATTCTTCAAATATTAAAATGTCTTAGAACAATGCCGAGAACGTCAAAACACTACTAATTCCAATATTTGGAATGCATAGATGACGAATATTTAACAAAGACGGGTGTGAATGTGGGTGTGTCTTTCATTTTTTTCTTTTCTCCATTCACACCTACACTCTCTAGTAACACGACCATTATCATTTTGTCTCTTCTTCGATTCTTTATATCATAGCGATGGACAAACAGATGTTTAAAAAACAGTGATACCTCTTGCGAGCATCTTGAAGGTGTGGGTGTAATTCTTGCTACACTCATCTTAAAATGAGAAAATTTCTATATGAATTTAATATTTATTATTTTTTTAATTAATATGTGTTTTAACTATAAGAATGTATAAAGCTTAGAGATAAATGTAAATCATTAATAGCAATATTAATTGTCTCTAGAAAAAAAGTCTTTTATATTATTTTAATTTTTCTGGTTACGAAAAGAATTGAAATTAATGTCAAATCTTCATAGTAGAAATAGTAGGATAAATGAATATTTTCATAAATCCTCAGGAACTTTAGAATATTTTATTTGATGAAAAAAGGATAAAGTTCAATTAATAATTCGTAATTAAATAAAGAACTAAGAAAATGGTTTGAAATGATAGTTCATTCAAAGGAAGAAGAATTGAAAAAGACTTTTGATGAGATTTCATTTCATTGAAAATACTCTATTGCTGATTATATATGAAGTTTTCTTTTTAACAAATATTTTCAGAGATGATAAATTGGATATAATTTCAAATGATTTTTTTTCAAGTAAACATAATAAATCAGATAGGATGAAAAATTCCATTTTTCTCTTAACTTTTCGATTGATCTATGAAGATAAAATCGAAATTTTGATAAAAGCAGAAATAAATAGAGAAGAATTTGGTATAGGTGTCACTTCATTATAGTCACACTCCAAAAAGAATTTTATTTAGGAATGACTAGTGATCTTCCATTTGTTTGATTAATTAAAATAGATTACAAAAGACAGATTTCTATAATGGTCAAGAAGAATGATAGTCAATCTTCTGAGCAGTCATCCTATTCCGCAATGTTGAACATTTCAGGAACCAGTTCCGCTCCGGAATCGATTCCGTTCAATTCCGGGAACTCGATCGACACATAATATCCGATACCCACTCGAAAATTGATCGAGTTCCGTCCAATTCCGGAATTGGTAGGAATTCCGTATAATTCCGGAATTGGTAGGA